TATCTATCTATCTATCTATCTATCTATCTATCTATCTATCTATCTATGTGAAATACCACTCACGCATCATCACAAAATCTCCAGAATCGTAAAGCCTACAAACTTGAAATTTCACAGGTATGTTCCTCTTGGCTTCTAAGAAAGGATTTTTCAAAATGACCATCAGAGCATTAGTATTTTGTATATTATTATCATTATTATTAACATGCTCTGATGCTAAAGAGTTCTACTTCCCCTCCCCACCCGAAATCTGTTCCAAATGCAAAAGACAAGCCGTTGTCTGGAGCAGCTGCAGCCCTCTGCCCCCTTGGTTGGTGCACTCTCGGGTTGCACAGTCTGGGCAGCACAGGTGAGTTGATTACTTGTCCAAGCAGCAGACAGTGACAGAAGCGCAGGAGGGAGGCATGCAATCTGGATGTGCCATGTGGGCTGCGGGAAAGCTGAAAGTTGGTGGGCTAGGGCAGGTGAGTGGGCACAGGAGGCTCATCTTCATGTGGTGGCACCGGAGATGGCAGCAGAGGCATGGGGGGAGGCACACAATCCGGAGGCACATGGGCTGCAGGCAAGCCAAGAGACGGTGGGACCGAGTGGACAGGTAGCTCATCTTCATGTCTCTTGACATGCCTGCAGCATCAGGATTGCCTGCTTCCCCCCTCATGCCTCTGCTGCCATCTGGTGCCGATGCTGCCACATGAGGACAAGCCACCCACAGTCACCAGCCCACTCTAGCCCATGGTCTCTTGGCTTTTGCGCAGCCCACGCAGCACATCCAGATCAGATGACTCACTCCACCTCTGCTCCCACCTGCTCCTTGGACTGATAATCAACTCACCTGCACTGCACAGGATGCGGCTGCTGCCAGACATTCTCGCCCAACATGTACTCACATGCTCACCCCCTCTTCACTAGGGTTTATTTTTGGGGTAGGGTTTATTTTCAGGGAAACAGAGTTAAGTCATAACGTGATTTGTTTAGGTTTGGTTTAATGAGTGAATCTAATCCTTGTTGCTCATAAGCCATAGTTTAATCTAGCATATTGTGAGAATGAGTCAATTATGAACCAATAAATCATAGTTAAACAAAATAGGACTGAGTAGTGTGTGAAGTACAATGCTGAAAGATAAGGACAATATTAAAATAGGTGAAGCAAATTGCTCCTTTGGCCAGTTCATGTTTTGCTTGTTCAATGATTAAACTCTTGGGAAGAAAGGGCCTAACTTCTCAGTGGCACCTGAAGGACAAAAGGTAGAGCATTACTCACACCTTCATATGGCATTAAAATTGTTATGACATAAGATAGACAAAAGCAATCCATGTGAGCCACATGCAGTCCTCAAACTACTTTTGCCATCCTAAGGGCCCCCTGGAATTGCACAATGAAAGATTAAGCACACAGTCAAGCAGCAATGCCTCCTGCGTGATGGGAGCAGCTTGGGATAATCTGGCCAGAAGCCAATTATCAACAGTCAGTAGACCTGCAAGATGTTGGCATTGTCTCCTTTTGACCTCCTACCCCTGTATAATAATTACATATAGGAGCCTCCAATAAACTGAAGAGGCTGGATTTAGTATAGGCTCTAGTTCAGCAATCTCTAAAAGGCCTAGTCAATAGGTAGCCCGAGCCTGTAGAGAGAGAACTCCTGCTAGAAGAGAGAATTATACACATCAGAAACTGAGTAAAAAACAAGAAAGCATATTCTTCTATTGTTCTTTATACTCATAAGCAGAATATGAAAATTATTTCTTCTTGAACAATTGAATAGTCAAACATTAACAATATGATACCTCAATTTAATATGCAAAATGTTTTGTTCAATGAGTTATTGTTAACTTATTTTACATAATAAACATTGGATTAGGTGTCTTCTAATTATTCATGAAATTATGGAAATATGATCCATGACCAGAGACTCTAATTTGGGAGTCATTTCATTTTGTATATAAAACATAACCTATGGAAACCTTTGTTTATGTTTAGCAAGTTTAAACTTGTTTCAAGCAACCAGAAACTATTTGTTAGTCTTCTAGTATCTGCAAACAGTCTCTGAATAATGAACTGGTATGATAGGAGACTGCCTAGGTACAGAATGGAATAGTTATTCCACAGGAAGCAGGAATAGAATTGTGCTGCTAAATAGCTTTGTTAGTATAATTTTCCCCTAATCCTTTCATAAAATATTATATCCATTACAGTTTAAAGAGAAATAATCTGAAAAAATAACTTGTTAATTGCTATAAATGAAACACTTAAAAGTATCCTCACTCAACAAACAGGGGTTTCAGATAACGACCTGATAAAATTGAGAAGTGTAACATCAATAGACAAGACTATAAATTAGCATGTGCATACTGTATTTATATGTTACATGTTTTGTTCAGATTGTATTTCTTCATAAATAACCTGAATACCGTTATCACCAGGGGTGGGATTCTACAGGTTCGCACCTATTCACTAGAACCAGTTGTTAACATTCTAAGCAGTTCAGAGAACCGGTTGTTAGAAGAAATTACTGGCCTAATCCTGTAAGGAAAGCAGGAAGGAAACATTCTGGTGTTGCTTACAGAAACTGCCTCTCCATTAACCCTTTTTACATTCTTGACAGGATTAGACTTCCTGTCTCAGGAACTTCTATGGAGTTTTTTCCCCCTCCTTTGCTGGTACTTTGCTTGTGTGGAGTGACCGTTCAAAGTTACAATGGCACTGAAAAAAGTGACTTATGACCATTTTTCACACTTACAACTGTTGTAGCATCCCCACAGTCATGAGAGGCCAGGCGAGGAGATGCGTGCCTCGATGTGAGTGATATTGAGTTGGTCACACCCAGCCAATAACATGACCACCAAGCCACACCCACCCAGTCACATGACCATCAAGCCATGCCCACCACCTAAGCCACGCCCACAGAACCAGTTGTTAAAACAACTGAATCCCACCCCTGGTTATCACCACTAAAACAAAATCACATTTTACCAAGTTGCACTCTGAGCTATTAAAATAACAGAAATAAAATATATTTTTACTACCAACTGGAAGGAATATTTATAACTTTAACAGAATAATAGAGTTGGAAGGAACGTTGGAGAGCTTCTAGTCAAGCAGGAAACCTTATACTGTTTCAGATAAATGATTGTCCAATCTCTTCTTAAAAACCTCCAGTGGTTAGAGCACCCACATCTTCTGGAGACAAGTCATTCTACTGATTAATTGTTCTTTCAGGAAATTTCCCCTTATTTTTAAGTTGATTCTCTTCTTAATTAATTTGTTTCTACAGTTCTCAATTCCTACAGAATCAAAATACCAAATTTGCATCTATGAAAAAAAAAATGATGTTTTCCTAAAAATCTATTTTTAAAAAAGGATAGTGATTACAAGATTGCAGCCAGAGTAATTGTGTATAGAGGAGTAAAAGCAGAACTGCAAAACCACATTCTGCATAATTTTTGGAATAGATTAACTTCTGAGCATGCAATCAAGGAAACGGCTTTTGCTTTTCTCCTCTGTGAGCACCAACAAATATATACCCTTAACTTCTGCATTCAGTAACTGAATGGCAACAAGGCTCTGTTTTTACTCAGAGAATAAATTGGAAAACTGATATTCACACCTTCTTTATCTATATAGTGTTGGGAAAAGCACTAAATTGTGTTAAGTACTGTCAAGTATATGCTTTTCTCAACCAACTCAGGCAAGGAAAAAGCTATGATAGAGCACAGCAATGGCCTGAAAATATGCACATGAAGCTTCTACAGATATCACAAATTTCTAATATTCTGAAAGGCACTTAAATAACTCAGTAAAATATTCAAAATATTTTCCACCAATTTCTGCATGCTTTCTCAGAGAATCCTATTCCCTGAAAAGCAGATATAGGATTGCTATTATCATTAGCTTATGGGCAACTGCGGTATCCTCTTTGATACTGGATAAGGATAAGACACAATATTTCTTATTGAAGTGGTAAAAACATGCAAAAATGTGGTTTAATTCTCCACCGAGCAGAAAAGTAAAATTATTGCTTTTCTCCAAATGTTAGGGAAAAGTTATGTTACGTCTGAGACTACCATAACTGTATAAATGCCTAGCAAAAGAACTTACCTTAACAACAAGGAAAATCTTATGTTCTTCCTTTGGAAAATTGTTGTTCTCTTCTGAACTGTTGTTGAAGGGAAATTTGACAGTATTTCTTGAAGTTTTGAAAATGTCCTCCATAGCCACTGTGCTTTCGAAAGTTCTGTCCTCTCTAACTTTGTATTGACTGTCTTCAGAACCATCCTGCAGAGAATCTGCTTCTTCCCCACTGTCACATCCATGCTGGGAGGAACAAGAGTTTTGCTGGCTAATTTCTATGCTATTCTCACATCTAATGTCCATGCTGTCTAGCATGGCAATTAAACAAGGAGAGAGTGAATCTCCACTGTTCTGATTAGAGATTTGTTCACATTCTCCTTCCTCTAAATTTGAATTTTCATAAAACCGATCTTCCTCTGTTTTTTCATGCGCATTGCTAAGCTCCCCATTTTCCATGACAGACAATTCAATGAATTATCAGTTCCTCTGGGAATCAAATCAAGCTAGGTAGATGATGGTGGTGATATATAAAAACCCTACTTAAACCGTGCTTGTGATATGTTTTCTGAACACATTGTTACACCTGAGAAGTTTCGAACAATCATTTACAAAGAGCTTTAAATCAACAAACTGCATATCCACTGAAGACTACTTTTTAACCCTTGCACAGTTCGAAGTGTGAGCACTTGTTCTTCAAAATAACTTTGACTCACATATTCTCAGCAGACAGACAGCAGGGATAAATTATTTTCCTTAGTTCTCATCTGTTTTTCTAATAACAAACCTGTGGAACATTTCTCCCCAAGGATCACCATTTCTTCTCAAAAAGCACATTAGAATAACAATTTAGATAATGGATACAAAAGAGTAGTGAACAGTTTGAAAAGATTTTTCTAGTTTTGCCAAAAGCGTAGGGTAGTCTTCATAAAACTTGAGGAAAGCAACACAACACAGGAATAATGACTCATATTTAGCCATCAAAATAATTTCCTAGGAATTTAAGACCTATCTTTCAGAAATATTTTTCACTGCATAAATTTTGGAGAGATCACTGATACAAAAATGAAGTTTTTAAAGTTTCTACTTTTATACACACACACACACACTTTTGTCACTGTCCATTTGAGAGAACAAAATCAAGTACCAGAGCATCTGGCTTGGATGAAGAACCTTCTGTTTATAAAGGTTGTCATTCATTGCTAGGGATAGAGTCACTGATTTCCTAATATGTTATAGTATTTTTCTGATATACAAACTTGACTAGGAATTGGGTTGGCTATTATTATCTATGTGCCTCCAACAGCTATGAAATGTAAGATTTGAGGGACTAAAAGCTGTTAATATTGCTGTTTCAATGTGGCACCTTTTCAGTTGGGAAAAAGACTCTTGCTGTTGTTCATCCTCAGCCAAATGTTTAATCTGCATGCATGCAAAATATCAAGACTTATAGCAAAATTAATTAAAATGTACAAATTGGAGTTAGCTTTAAATTGGGCTCCCTTAATTGGAAAATTAGTAACTAGAGCAAAGTACTATAATAAAATCTACATGTATTCTGTACAGCTGATAATTATAGAAGATTTTCATAGTACAGAGTAAAGTAATTAAGAGTTTAGGTAGAGGGAGAATGGGCAGGTTTAATTAAGGAAATGATATGACACAAGGAATTGGACAAAGACACAAATAATGTGGTTTTTGAACTATACAGAGGAACTAAATTAAAAAACATGATTTACAGGTTCTGATATACCAATTTTTGCAGTTAACAATGAGAAGAAACCAAGAAGACTGGAAAGGCAAAGGGATAAATTTTGTTTCAAAGCAAAAACCAAAAGATTTTTTCTGCAAAATCTGTGGTAATCTGGGAGTTTGGGGTATGACCTACAGTTATAAAGTTTTCATAAGAATTATAGAATACTTTATGGATTAAAGTACAATCCTGATAGAGGTGCAGGAAGGTGATAAAAAGGGATCAAAGTGCCTTAATATAAGCATAATACAAAAGTAGGAAGAGGAAGTTTAGGATAAGAGCAAAGCAATAACTTTTTAGAAAAGGATTCTGAATTCAGGGGAATGGGTGAACTGAACCGTAACAGCAACAGATTGTTAAATTTAGAGCAAATCATGAAAAGCTATCCTCAGTGTTAGTATACTAGCCTTGAGTGATTGAAAAATTCAGGAGAAAAATTGTACAAATACTTGTATAAGATACTAAGCTTAGCATAAATGAATGTTAAATATGTTTAAAGATAATGGCATTACTCTTGACATATTCCTTTGCCAAGGCTAGTTTAAATGAACTTAAGTGTGAGGTGCTAATTGGAGATAGGAATAGACAAGGGATAAGCAATAGTCACCCACCAGATAGTTGAAGAAAGATGTGCCTGAAGACAGAATAAGCATCAATGAGGGAAGATACAAATTATAGTTCAATAACACAGGCTGGGAGAGGGAGAGGTTGGCAACCACGCTGGTTACAGAGGACGATTTTCAAGATACTAGAACATAATTGATTACCCAGTGATCTTAGATGTGCACAGGTACCCACAGAAATGTTATGCTCTTCAGTTCAACTCTCCATAGGATTAAACTTCTCCTGGCCATGGAAGACTTAACATAGGGATGTCAAACCCACATCATCACGGCACTCCTGATTTAGCACAACCTTATAAAAAAATGAAAGGGGAAAAAAACTAGGACACAAAATGGAGAAGATTTAATAGCTCTCTGGATCAAGAATCTAAAGTCCAACTAGCATATATGACACTGGAGAAACTTTTCTCTACCCAGAACCCTGCCAGAGAAAAATGATGTCCTCTTCTGACTCATGGCATGATTAACTTTGGTCTTGATGACCAATTTATTTCTGAATTTAACGTACTGGATGGTAGACTAGAAAGTTATAGATTTTGGCTGGATAGCAGAGGAACCAAGTAAGGCAACGGCAAACAAACTGTGTTACATACTATATTTGACCAGTAGATGGAGATATATCAGTACATTTGGATGTCTGTCTGGCTCAGTATCAGGTAACTCGTTTGTAAATTGTTATGCAACTATGCCACCAGTCCATTTCATCTGACAGATAGTTCTGTCATAAAATAACATTGCTTTGCTTATTTTATTTATTTACACTGGTGGAAACGTCCCACTTCAGTTTCTCACTACCTTCATTGTTTCATAGTTGGCATGTTTTCCTTGGTTACCTAGCTCATAATTTGATACCTTGTACAAAGTTCATGTTTCAGTGGGTTTGATCCTCGGCCAGTGTTTTATCTTTAGCTGTAAAGTCATAGCATGAGTTTCCTTCCCTATAGGGGGCTTTTTTTCTGAGAAGCACAGTCACAGGATCTAGCATATCTCTTTGTTAATATTTAGCGCTGAATAAGTCCAAGAGACATCTGATCAAAAGATTAAAGAAACTGAGAAATTCAGTCTCTTTCTGAACATCAAAAAGACCAAGTTCATGACCACTGTAAAGAATGGAAATATAAAAATAATTTGCAGTGAAGAGATCAAATGAGTGTGTGGATCGCAGATTGATCAAAGAAGTATGTAGTCCAGAAATAAACTGTCAAATTGCACTGAGTTGCACAGCGTTGATGAGCATGAATGAATATGGTAAAGTAAGGGTATCTGCCAGCAACTAAATGCAGATGCACATTCCTTGGACAGAAGGTGGCAAACAAACAAGTATAGGAATGTAAAAAACCTGACATATAGCTGCAAGGCAAAAAATCACAGAACTCCGCTCTACTTACTTTGGCCATGTCATGTGATCACACTCACCGGAAAGGACAGTTATGTTTGAATCAGAAATACTAAAAGAAACAAGTCACCAAAACCACAGTGGTGAGACACTATCAAAGCAGATACTAGACAGAACATAAAACAAGAAAAGTAACCAATGTAAGATTAAAAGATACGGAATTGGTCCATTGAAGTGCTTAAAATCAGACACGATGCCCAAGCTACCCATCCTCCCTGACCTTATAAAGCATCAGCCAGATGAACATGTCAGATTAACAGTTAGAAGCGACCTTGTAGGTCATCTAGTCCAACTCCCACCCAAGCAGGAGATCCTATACCATTTCTGACAATGGCAGTCCAATCTCTTCTTGAAAGCCTCCAGTGATGAAACTCCTGCAACTTCCGAAGGCAAGCTGTTCCATTGGTTGATTGTTCTGTCAGAAAATTTATTCTAGATTTTGTGAAGAAACTGAAAAATGATTATTGTGTATTATAGTGGTGAAATGTTGGACCAAGAACTGAGAGACCTGGCTTTCTAGTCTATCCTCAATCACAGAAGCTGGACCAGTCACTTTCCCTCTACATTAACCTATTTCACTAGGTTGTTGTGCTGAATACTTATGAGAGAAATGCTATGTACAGTATCTTCAGAAAAATGTAGACCATAACTCTAGTAAAAAATATTATGATATCTGATCTACATTATCATTTAAGAATAAATTAATATTAAAATAGCAAAATATTAACTTTAAATTAAAAAAATAAAATAGAAAGGCAAGCAAAAGCCAAATGACTGGTTTTTTTCCCATGCTGAAGAATTTTAACTACCTGCGTACACCTTTGATGCTTGAAACACCGTCTATTGCTTGTATTTTTTAAGGAAGCCAAGAAGACACCAGAGCTTCTGGCTGCAATATTTTGGGGGAAACAAGTTGGACAACTATCAACCAAATAACAAAGATTGAGCATCATTTTGGGAATTTCAGACTGGGGTGACTTATGAATTTGATTGTTAGCATTTACAAATATTTCTGACATGACGCTGTAATTTGAAAGTCTGATTTGATTAAAACACTACTCTGGGTAAAAGTAGACACACATACAAGTCATTATAATATGCTTCTTAAAAGAACACTGAATAAATACTAGCAAAATAAAGAGAAAATGTGCATGGGAACAGACTACTTTGAACGGAGGAGGTAGGTAAACATTTTTGCCTGTCTTATGTTTGACTCATTCAAAAATTAGTATAGCGGCCTAATTTTCCTATACAGTTCTCAACTTCATGATATATTTCAGTGAGACAGATAGCATTAAAACATCTATCTACTCCAATTTTGGACCCAGACATAATACAAATAAGTCCTCAATTTACAACCAATCATTTAGTTACTGTTTAAAGTTATGGCACTGAAAAAAGTTACTTACGAATGTTTTTTATACTTACGACCATTGCAACATCCCTATGGTCAAATAATCAAAATCCAGATGCTTGGCAGCTGACTCATACTTATGACAGTTGCAGTGTCTTGGAGTTATGTGATCATCTTTTGCAATCTTCTGACAAGCAAAGTCAACGGGAAAGTCAGATTCATTTAACAACATGTTATTAACTTAACTACAGTGATTCAGTTAACTGTGGCAGGAAACGTCATAAAATGGGACAAAACTCACTTAGCAACTGTTTCACTTAGCAACAGAAATTTTGGGCTTGATTGTGGTCATAAATTGAGGATTACCTGTATACTTGTATAAATGGCACAAATGGAACTCAGTTATTCTTTTCACTGCCACGGGATGCCAAAGTGATGTTTCATTGCTACAGGTTTCCTGCTGATCTTGCAACTGGTTAAGTTTATTTTAGTAGCACAGTATGTTCAGACAGTTTCCCTGATACCTGTTGATACTACTAAGAGATGACCATTGGTAGAGGAGTACAGTACAAATATTTTTAACCTGTAATTCTCAGCAAACTATCCTTCTCTTTCCCAGGTTCTGAGAATTCCAAAGTCACTTAATAAACTTAACCCTTAGGTGATCTCCTTGTCCTTTAATTTTAAAGATAAATAGCAGCAGAAGTTGATTCATGAAAAAAAGTGTTTATATTTTATCTGGAAAGCCTAGGTGCTCTCGGAAGTATTGCTGCAAACTGGTTGCATTCTTGCATTGTCCAAACAGGAGCTCAGTTTTCCCAAGCAGCTGTGCTCCTTGCAACTAATTTCAACACTACAAAAGAACAAGCAATTTTAATGTTGGTATTGGGAAAGAGGATGGCTTCTTTTATCTAAGATGGAAATTTAAATACCAAAATAGAAAAGAGTGGAACTGATTTTGTAAAAATTACCAAGGAAGTAAGTGCAACTATTGCTTCTTAAATAAGAAGAGGGGGCTAATTACAAGAATGAACAATTTACTAAGTTTACAAGAGATTTTATTGATATAAAATCTAAAGGGGCTCATATAGTTGATAACATTTGACTTCAGCATTAAGAACTAATTAATGTCTAATCTCTATCCCCAATCATGAATCTTCCAGATCTTGCCATAATTAATCTATAAATGATACTTTTGATTTTCATCAACCAGAAGTCTTTTTCCTACTAAATATCAGCAGTAGGAAAACTTGTCTATTTACTACAGCAGAAAAAAAAAGTTCTAGCTTTGGAGATAGGGAGGCAAACAATTTATTGCAGAAGCAAGAATCCAACTGAGCCAATTAAGCAATTTAATTGTTTGGGGGAATTCAATTTACTAGCTTGAAGTCCTGTTTGCCACAAATAAATGCTATAAAAAAAGAAAATGTATGAAATAACAGATGGACTAAGTACTGGTTCAGGAGTGGAGGTGATAGGTAGAACTTATGCTTAGATTGATTGTGAGCAATATCTTGTTTGGGATAGTGGTTTGGGGAACAGTGATTACCAATGAATTATTAAACTTCTTACAAAATTGCATTTTGAGAGGTATTATAGGAGTCTTGTACCCAAATTCATGCCAGCATCTTATCTAAGATTGTAATTTGGCTTCCTGCCATACTTACCACATGTGGAAACTGGTGTTATACTATTGGTGAAAGCTTAGACAAGTAGTCATCACAAGGGACAAAGCTTTTTTTCTAGCTGTAGCTAAAAAATAGTGACTTTATCAATCTAACTCCAATGCCAAAATATGGGTTTCACGTAATCATTTTACCCAAATGATTATTTTGACATTAACATCTATTATGGAAATGGAGCTTAATTTTTTTTCTCTGCAAATGGAGTTTTCTTTCCTCAAGCAGGAAGGCAATATGTTGATAAAAACCTCTTGAAATCCAGAGCAGAGTTACATTTATTGTGACATGTAAAATTTCACTAGCAATCTCAGCTCGGCGTTCCATTCCTTAGGAAGCCAAACGATACAAGGAAACTTGCTGAAATATTAATAACCGCAGGGGCAGTTCCGTTAAGGAAAAACAGCATTCTCGGCCATGGGGGGAGAGGGGAATGTAACACAGTGGACTGGCCCGAGGACTCAGCCGGAATTTCACCCCTCCCCCCCGAACCCCATTTTTATTTCCCTTCCCTACTCCTGACGTCGCTACAACGCCACTACGCAATCCCGGTTTGCGGGATCGCAACAGTTTTTCCTTATTGTTTGTCCCGCCTCTTTCTGTAAGCGCCGCCCCCGCCAGCAGTTCCGTCCTTCGCGAGTGCCAAGGCCCCAGGCGCCGTGCACCTGCTTCTCCGACTCAAACGGCGCCAAGTGACCAATCAGAGAGCTCGGTAGAAGAGAATCCTCAGACTAAGCCAAGGGCGGCCCGTTCTTTCCGTCGCCGTCCGAGGTAACTATGGCAAAAACCCGTCGGCTGTTTGCTGGTTCACGGCGGGTATTTAACTGCGCGTGCGCGCCTCACCGTGAGTTTGGAAAAGTGTTTGACCTTCTTATTACGAGTAAGGAAGGAACGAGGAGCGGCGGGGCGCTTCCTTCCCTTGCGGTAGTATTTGCCTCTTGCCCCGTGGGTGGGTGTGGGGTATTGTTTTCTGGTAAGAGGAGAGCTTCAAAGAGCTCAGGTCCCCCTCTTTTCTGCGGTTCGTTATCTGGGGGAGTGGCCGTGACCTCATCCTGCCTCCCCCATTCGCGGGGGAGACTCCCTTCCTGGCAGGGATCGCTATAGATGGGGCAAAGGAGAGAGTTGCCACTGCACGCACTGGTCAAAAAATGGAGTTTTTTGAGGTTGGGTCCAAGTTGAAACGATTTGGTATCGAACACACCTGAAATACTTGTTCCGTTAAGAAGTGGGAGAGTCCATATTTTCATATGTCTGCAATTGGTGGGCATTACAGTGCTGAGCTCCAGCAAACGCCAGAGACCAAATGGCAGAGGACTTTTTTTTTCCCAGGGCCTCTTCCTAACATGGTTTGTAAGTGATGCTGATCCGACATGAAGATGATACTGCGCCTGTAGTTTGGGCATTATTTTGTTTATCTTGAGATGAAGGCGACTTGTTGAAAATAGGTTTACTTTCATGTTGGGAATTTGGAGCCCAGTGTATTATATATTGTAAGCCAAGTATAAAATAGTTTATTCTTGATATATTATTGTAAATTAGAAAGAGTAAAACTTCTGTAGAAGAATTAGAATTCTTTATTGGCCAAGTGTGATTGGACACACAAGGAATTTGTCTTGGTGCAAATGCTCTCGGTGTACATAAAAGAAAAGATACATTCATCAAGAATCATAAGGTACAACACTTAATGATAGTCATAGGGTACAATAAACAATCAAATCATACTAGGAAACAGTCATACAGTCACAAGTGGGAGGGGAGGAATGATAAGGAGTGATGAGAAGATTAACAATAATAGTAGTGCTGACTTTGTAAATAGTTGGACAGTGTTGAGGGAATTATTTGTTTAGCAGAGTGATGGCATTGGGGGAAAACTGTCCTTGTGTCTAGTTCTGGTGTGCAGTGCTCTATAATGTTGTTTTGAGGGTAGGAGTTGAAACAGTTTATGTCCGGGATGTGAGGGGTCTGTAAATATTTTCACAGCCCTCTTTTTGACTTGTGCAGTATACAGGTCCTTGATGGAAGGCAGGTTGGTAGTAATGATTTTTTCTGCAGTCCTAATTACTCTTTGAAGTCTGTCTTGTTGGGTTGCAGAACCAAACCAAACAGTTATAGAGGTGCTGATGACAGACTCATCTGCAAAAACACTTGTGTAGGCAAAAAAAAATTGTAAGAGTAAGAAGGAAAACAGTATTCCTATAAAATGAAGCAGTTTATTTTTAAATGTTCCTGTATAGTGTTTTTACTGCAATTGCCTTTTCCATTCTTTTATAAATCATAGCAATACCACTTAGACATGTGCCGCTTTACAGTCCTCTCTAAGCGGTTTACAAAGTCAGCACATTGCCCCCAACAGTCTGGGTCCTCATTTTACCCACCTTGAAAGGATGGAAGGTTGCATCAACCTTGAGCCTGGTCAGATTTGAACTGCCAAATTACAGGCAACCGGCAGGCAGCAGAAGTAGCCTGCAGTACTGCATTCTAACCTTTGCGCCACTATGGTTGTATTCTTATCCTAACTCCATAAACTACCTGCAGTGGATTAAAGTTTTAATTCCTTTACATTTAGGAAAAATACAGCGTTATAATACTCATGCATTTTTTATGTCATATTCTAATTTATCTAAAACACAATGTTACTCTTATAGAAATTATTAAATGTTTTGTAAACAAGAATTACATCCCACTTTTAAACATTTGGTAGTTACATTTCTTTTTCGGGGTGAAGATCCTTCAGTGTCATACAAGCCCTTCCCTTATGATTGCCAGTGCTCTGATCAAAGTGCCTTTTCAGAGGCCCTACATCTAGTCAGATAGAATTGCTGTGTGTGGCTGATATTCCAGTTTTGTAAAAAATGGTGATAGATTTTGCAAGCTGTAAATAATAAATTAGTTTGCTATACATTATCCACAGACTATATGCTAGACATCTGTGTTTTACATTTTGTGATTTGCAGGACCATAAGAAGCATGAGCAAATAGTCTTTTCGAGCATGAGCAAATAGTCTTAAGAGAACAAAGACCCATGGTACATCATTATTTGATTTCATAGCATATAATAGACAAATACACTGGCATTACAAATAGCCATTTGTCACATTTCTGGTCTTCAGGGCAGCCTTTAATTCAGTTTCAAGAGTACACGTGGGATGAATTCAAGAATTCTACTGTTCATTCAAAACAAAATTAAACAAAACTGCCATATTAGTATATGCCATTTAGCATACAGTCGATCAACTACATGCTTTACAACAGGGGTGTCAAACTGGATTTCTTCGAGGGGTCGATCAGCATTGTAGTTTTCCACGTGCCATGGGGAGCAGGAGGGGGTGGGGCAGATGCCTCCTGCAGCACTCTGCTGGCCAAAAACAGGCCACACGGCCTGTTTCCAGGCCAGGTTTTGGGCTATTTCCAGGCCAGTTTTGGATGGTAGAGTGCTGCAGGAGGCCATGAAGTGTAGGGGGCTGCACGCAGTACATTTTAGCCACCAGAGGTACCACGGGCCGGTCCTTTGATATTTCCAGGCTGGTCCCATGGAGCAGATTTAAGCACTTCACAGGCCAGATCCGGCCTGCAGGCCTTGACACCCCTGCTTTATAGTCACTATCTAATTTTCTTTATTGAGCAGATACCTCTTGAAAGTGTTTGCTGGCTTGGGATAGGGATTTCTTATGCTATCAAAAACTACAGGTTTTGCTTTGGATACAAACATTTTTGAAAGAATATGTATTAATGTCAGTATATTAAGTGAGGATATATAGGTCTTCAACTTACAACCGCAATTGGGCTTGGAATTATGATTGCAAGTCGTGGTCATTAAGTGGATTACCATTGTGACCTGACTTGATTTTATGCCCTTTTTTACATTACATTACAAAACCATATCATTTGATTGCAGAGTATTGTCATAATTTTGAAGATATTTAAGTAGCTTTTTAAAAGTGTGCTGTATCTTTGAACAGTGGTTAAGCAACTGGTTATAAGTTGAGGATTACCTATAGTTTGTCCCATTTGTGTTTCAGTGATACTATAGACAAGACGAGACTAGAGTTGAATACTATGCTACACTGCACTGCACTATACTACTCTACATTATACTATACTTTATTGGCCAACTGTGGTTGGACACAAGAATTTGTCTCCAGTGCATAAGCTCTCACTATACATAAAACAACAAAATAATATATTCATAAGATACCAATAGGAAAAGGTAGTAGAAAAGATAAGAGGGATAATAGTAACACAATACTACATGGGTAAATATCCTTAGACATAAAACAGTACTGTGGTAATTAGGAAAGTGATGGCACAGGGGGGGAAAAACTGTCTTTGTGTCTGTTTGTTTTGGCATGTGATAGCAGCATTATGTCTGTAATACAGTATAAATATAATTTCTATATTATATAAATAATATATCAGCGATATATTTAAACTAAATCTTTTAAAAAGTGGAAATACCCTAACTTATGAAGAAAGCTAAAACAAAATCACTTTATTAACGTTTATTTTTATAAAACTCCAGGTGGCATACATAATATTCCTATCTCCTATTTTCCCTGCAGCAGCAATCCTGTGGGGTAACATGACCACACCAATTTTTCTGTTAAATCAAGTTACATTTCTGTACTCTAGCCATATGTAAGTAGTAGTTGTTCAGAACTTTATGCATAATTTCTAATTTGAAATTGACAAAAAGAGGAATGAATAGATTGAAAATAGTCTTATAGAAAGAACAACTTTGTATGCCTAAAAAAATATGGAGACTTAATTGTCAGTGCCTTTGCGAGAGATGAATATATAGCAATCAGATCAGATTAACATAAAAGAAAAATGGGTGTAAAAAAGTAATGGCCCATATCTCAACTTTTGAATTGTTAATTTTTAACTGTTACTGAACTTAAATCAGATTCTGTATTACTTAACAATAATGGGTTGAGCTCTTGAAATACTGATAGTATGATTTTCCTACCCTCCATAGGCAATCTCACGTAAGAATATTAGAATTGACTGAAATTTTGTTAGATTTCTATGATTTCATACTACTGTAGATTTGGTCTTGTAGAAACCAAGGCAGCTGGGTTGCCAATCTCTATGTAAAACATGGTTGAAAAATATGTGGAACTGTATGGTTATAATAATTAGCAACTCTTCTAAGTAGAGTATAAATTGAATTCATTGCTTGGCTAGAATGAAAATAATTATTTGGCTTGAAATTATTAATTGGGATTTCATTTTTTTCTTCTCCTTTCAGGTACCTTTGTTTCCTGTGCATGTTGAAATCTTATCCAGAATGCTTTTTTTAGTAATAGTATTACTCTTTAATGGAATAATTTCTTACTCCGATGGTAAATCTGTTAGCAAGTCAGTGCCAAGATTACTTCTGGTGTCTTTTGACGGCTTCAGGGCTGATTATTTGAAGAAATATGAACTTCCACATCTCCAGGATTTTATTAAGGCTGGTGTATTAGTAGAGCATGTTACCAATGCTTTCATCACAAAAACTTTTCCAAACCACTACAGTATAGTCACAGGCTTGTATGAAGAAAGCCATGGTATTGTAGCAAATGAAATGTTTGACAACGATACACAGAAAAAATTTTCACAGTTTAATGATACCGATTCTTTCTGGTGGGATGAAGCAATTCCTATTTGGGTAAGCAATGAATGGCAGGAGAACAAAACAAGTGCTTCTGCAATGTGGCCTGGCACAGATGTCAAAATTCATGATACTCTTCCTCATTTTTTTATGAAATACAATTATTCAGTAAGCTTCAGTGAACGTGTAGAAAAGATTATTGAATGGTTGAATAGTTCTAATCCATTAGTTACTTTTGCTACTCTTTATTGGGAAGAACCAGATGCAAGTGGACACAAGTATGGACCAGAAGATACTAAGAACATGGCTAAAGTATTACACGAAGTAGATAACCATATTGGCCTTCTTGTTGAGAAGCTTAAAGTTTCAAAGTTGTGGGAGGAAATAAATGTTATCATTACAAGTGATCATGGCATGGCACAGTGCTCCCCGGAGAGATTAATCAAACTGGATCGTTGCATTGATTCTAGCAGCTATAAGCTAATAGACAGAAGCCCAGTTGCTGCCATATTGCCAAATAGTAAGTATATTCTTAATAATGTCTATTACTGTTGTGCTTTTAACAGTATTATTCTCAATGTTATTCTCAATGTAATTTCATAAGTAAGTCTCCAATATCTCTGCTGAATATTTACTGATTGTGATCAGAAAAATACTGCATAAGGAACTTTCCTTTATAGTGTTTTTTTTTTTCAACTGAGAAATAATTTTACATGTAATATTAGTTAAGGTCAATATATAAACAAAGCTGATTAGTAGTACCTTAGTTGAAATTTGTTAATGCATATAGAAAAGTCCTTGAAATAAAAAAGCTATTTTGTCCTGAGCTCAGCCAAACTTCAAAAAGTTCACAACGTCATCAGTACAAATTCATCATGATTTGAATATATGTTACACATATAACAAATATCAAACATTTGAGTCTGTTATTATAGAGGTCTAGAGCAATTGAAACAAATCACTTGCTATCTCATTCTAGGGTGATAAAAGGTGAGATGATAGTCCATATTAACTACCACCATACTTATGAATATGCTGATGAGATATTTTTTAAACTTTAAAAATTCTCACAGGCCAGAAAGTAGATTAACTTTTTTAAAAATATGTTCTGTCTATTACAAATAGCCACAGAGGCCTAGTAGAAAGTAAACCTGTAGCACAATTCTCTTTAGTACGTTCAAAAATGCAAAAATACAATGAGATTATTTGCCAGCAACAATATATAATACAGAGTGACATTGCCTTTGTATTTGGCATGAAGCAAGAGCATACATAGAGCAATGCACTAAAACTCAACATTTGTATTTTGAATTTAAAAATTCATCATTCTAAAAACATAAACCTTTAATTTTTTTCTAAAGCTTTATTTGCTCGCTTGTATATCAATCCATAATCATTTTTTAAAGCCTAAAATTTATCTACTTTGGAGGCAGACAGTCTTTATGCTGTCTTAAGTATATAAGCAATAGCACTTAGACTTATATACCGCTTTATAGTGCTTTGCAGCCCTCTCTAAGCCCCCTACAATCTGGGTCCTCATTTTACCCACCTCCGAAGGATGGAAGGCTGAGTCAACCTTGAGCCTCGTGAGATTCGATCTGCCAAATTGCAGGCAGCTGGCTGCAGAAGTAGCTTGCAATACTGCACTCTAACCACTGCGCCACAGAGGCTCCTCTTATATATGTATATGATATATATATGATAAGTATATGATAACCCATCAAGAAATACCTTATGCAAGCAAATCAGCATCTGATTCTGATGTATTGGTCCTATCTGTCTTCCTCCTCCACCAATAAGAGCAGAAATAGGACTGGCTCTGCTGTTCTGTTGGCCATGCTGAAAAGCAATGTAACACCACAGTGTTTAAGAATTTTAAGATGTTTGAGCTTGGGACAAAACTCATTCTTTTACTCTGAGCATAAAATATTTGGATGCGGCATTTCAGGTGCAGAATATTTGGGGTTTACACTGCCCCTAGTTGCATTCTTAAAATGTAGAATGATTTGACTCTTTAAGAAATATATTTTTACTTCTGAAAGTAAGTATATTAAAATAGAAGTAGATCAGATCCACATTAAACTTTGAGATCTTAAGAAATAGAATCCAGTTTTTTTATATTTGCAGTAACAAATTTTATAGACAAATAAATGACCCAACTTATTTATACTTTGTTTTTTAGATGTGACACATGTTTATGATTTATTGAAAAACTGCAGCCCTAATATGAAGGTTTATCTTAAAGAAGAAATTCCAGAGCGATATCATTACCATCACAATAAGCGCATTCAGCCAATAATTTTGGTTGCAGATGAAGGCTGGACAATTGTACAGAATGGGTCTCTTCCCAGATGTAAGTTATTTTTTAAACATTAATTAAAATACATAATTCCCTTTTTGATTGGGGGGGGGGGTAAAGTTATTTAGGGCATAGAAGAATTAAAACCTTTTGAGTTTGAGTTTAGGCCATACCAAAGTGCAGGGTTCCAAACACAAATTATTGCTAAAACCCAATAAAAACAATTTAAAATGAGTTTGAAATAAAATACAATTTAAAATGAAATTGGAATAAGAAACCTTTTGAAAATATCTGAAAGCATCAAGGATTAGATTCTTATATATTTTTCTTAATTCTGTGTATTCAGAAATTCAGCACAGTATTAAACTGGATTGCCCTATTTGCAAAAATATAAAGTCCTAAAGTCACCTTTTCTAACTAAATACAGAGGGCATACTTGGATATGGGAGTGATGGACAAAACCATCTGTTTTTCATAACTGCTGCATGTAGTCAAGCTGGAAATGGTATTAACATTTAAAAAGGAATGTTTGACCAAAAAAATCCCTTCAGAAAAATGATAAGCAGTTATAAATCAGGTAGCATCTCATTTAGAATTTGGAGCACAATCACCAGCTTTATAAACTAAGGATTGTGACGAGAAACGATGTACAGACACTCCTGTTAGACAGATACAAAATTTAACAGCAGGAAATTTTGGGGTGAATCTGGACAACACTTTCTTAGCATAGTATCCTTCAGTTACACCCCTTCATGACTGAAAACTTAATTCTGATGGGGGGAAAGTTACAGATATCTGCAGTCACAGAATATTGATTGTGACTATTGGGAAGGAGATATTTCATCAATTGGCTTCAACTAAACTATAGAAATAGCCAATTAGCTTAGCTAGCGATGTAAGACGAGAACCATTTAAAATCCAATAGGGAGACAAAGAGGTTTATCCTTTTTTAAAACTTAATTATTGGTTTGAATTCCTTTTTAATGAAATTTAGAATTTAACATATAAAGTTTTTTACATAGTTTCGTAACTAAAAAAGAATTACATATCATAAGCATCAACAGAAAACTCACATGTTTTACTATGCTTACGCAGTCAAAATAGGCCATTGAGAAACAAGAGATTGATATTGTCATATCAGGAAATCCCAAGATTTGCTAAAATAGGAAAAGGGGGGGAAAGTCCAGCACATTGGGATGTCCACAGAATATTAGATTCTTAGAGAGCCATGTAAAAATATCCTGAAACATATTTGTGTGATGGGACTATTCTATGGGGTTAGAAACAGGAGATGAGAGACAACAAGGGGTATTCTCATACATTATATAACAGAAAGCAGAAACTCTTCGCTTGACAAACAGATTGTTTTAATAGGAGATAATGTTAAACTACTTTCTTCATCCTTGGAGTTAATGTATTTATCATAATCTTAAATATTACATTGATTTTATTGGAAATACTTTTGGTGAACATTATGTAATTTTAACAGTTCAATGAACTGAAATATCAAATTTAAATAATCTGCTTGGATTTTTAACAAAGCAGAAAACAATAGTTTATTGAAAAAAACAGTTAAGCTATAATTCTGTAATGGCAGGATTATATTTACTAGGTAAAATAACTTAGCTAAATCTTTGTAATGCATTAACAATTCTTGGCTTCTTTATTTTTCAGTAGGAGACCATGGCTATGATGATACTCTTCCAAGTATGCAGCCATTTTTGGCAGCTCATGGACCTGCCTTCCGCAAAAATTACAGACTGAATTCAATCCGTACTATTGATATTTATCCAATGATGTGCCATATTTTAGGATTGAAATCCCAGCCTAATAATGGCACTTTGAGCAATTCTAAGTGTTTGTTAGTTGACCAATGGTGCATAAATGTTCCTGAAGCAATTGGAATAGTTATTGGTGTCTTTATGATATTAACTACTCTGATGTGCCTTATAATAATCACCAAGAACAGAACTCCTCCTCTACGTCCATTTTCAAGACTTCAGCTTCAGGAAGATGATGATGATCCCTTAATAGGATAAGATCCCTGTTCTGACTTCTGTTTTGAAAAGACAATAACAGAGATTTAAGTTATGTTGGCGAATAATATGATGCACTTTAATAAATATCCATCAAAACTACAGAAGAACATTGTTTCTCTGAAAAAGAAATCTTGACTAGAATTTATTTTCTAATATGAACTAATAGAAAATTAATAGTAGTAAAACTTATTTAATTCTAAGTGATAAGGAATACAATTATTTGTGAGTGAATCTTCTTGCATATATTTCATGGGCAACTCCTTAGAGATATTGTGACATTTCCTGAAATTGGACAGGAGCCTGTTCAACAAGGATCACAGCTTTAAAAGGCAGGATAAACTAGGCAATCAAGGCCCTGCCCATTCTGATGTGCACAATTCTTTGATTGCTCAGACATTCCTGCCCTTTTGAAGCCAGAGATTTGTCATTTCAGATGCCCTTGAAACTGGTTGAAAAAAATATAAACCATTATGAAATTCTTTATAAAGAAGATTATAATTGTGAAAATAATCCAGATTTGTTTTCATTATTGGGGAATAGTTGCTATAACAGTTTAACTTAGTAGCTGTTAATAGCTGGGACTCACAATTCTAGAGCACTGTGCACTCCATGTCAATCTCTGCAAACTGGATGTTTCCTTTATTTTAAGCTGTTGGAAAACTATTTGCAGGTACATCTTCAAGCTACACTGAGCAAAAAAAATAGCATGCCAGACTACAGATAGATTATATCAAATAATTTCTTCTATAACTATAAGATGTGGACTGATTCTAAACATAGTTTAATGTGTCTTCATTGAGACAGGTACGGAGTTTTCAATCCATTTTGTTAGGTTTTCAGATGTTTCATGTGTTTGAATTAACAACTTGATTGCATAATACATATATTTTAATGAATCTGCAAAAGAAATTATATTTTATAAGAAGAAAAGGGATTTGGAAGGCAAAGGAGGCAGTTAAAAAGACTTTCTGCTGCTTGCAGTTTGTATATGATTAATAAGATTCTGTATTGTATATTCAATTAATTGACAATTTATGTTCAGAAATGATTATTCAGTTTTTTTAATTCCTAATAATTGCTTGATTTAAAGTAGAGCATTTGTAATAGGCAAATAATATGCGATACCATTTGTGTTTGTTTCATTCTGAAAGTTAGAATTCAAGGGTAATATATACTTAATGCGTAGGACACATAATTTTCCTTGGTATTTCAAATGTTCCAAATTTAACTTCAGTTGCTTTGCTTGTCTTCTTCATAAAATGATAGTGGAATCCTTTATAATCTGTAACACTATGAAGATACAATCGTACTTGTCTGATAACAGCTATTTTTCTAACTGTTCTACACAAATTTAATATCTCAGGGACTCTTCCAGATTTTGATTCTCTTGTAACATAGAGTAAATAGAGCAATTATGCAAAACTTTAAACAGCTTAAAACTTCTTTAAATGATGAGATCCATTATTTGTTTAGCCTAAAGTAGCAAATAGTTCATCAAGGAAAAGGTGAATTAATGGGGAAAATCTGTCCCAATACATTCTTCATCCTTCATCTCAAGACCACTGGCTACTGTTACCGAAAATGTTACCTACTTTGTTATCTCTAATTATCAGGGATAAATTTATACTGGGAAAATTCAGTAATGAACTATGTTATATTTTTTAAGAGACTGTATTTATTGGGATATCTTTGTAATTGAGGATTTTGGACAGTCTTCATTGATTTTGATTAAAGAGGCTGTTACACTTTCAATTTATATTTCAGTATTAAGGTTTATGCTTTGTTACTTTTAGGTTCAAGTGTTTTTTCATTTATTCTAAAATTCTTGCCAGTCAAAATAATGCTAACATTCAGAACAGCCATTATTTTTTCTTGCTATTCTCTCTCTTCCTTCCTAAAAACTTAAAATTGCATAATAAAAGTTCCTATTTAACTTCATGATACTGACTTCTGTAGATCTTTTGAATTGTGACTCTAGGTGTATACTGCATATATCATTTTTCTGAGCTATTCCCAAAACTATTTAAGTTGACTGTTGGACAAACCATTTCTATTGTCTTAGTCACAATATAGGTTTTAACAAAAAAAAAAGTACACTCCTGTCTGAGGTTCTATATTGAGGTATATGCTAAACACAAGATTCCCTTTGGTACAGATTTGAAGAAGATCTTAGTTCAAACCAGAGATTGACTTAAGTGGCCTGTGGATTTACCAGGAGGAAATTGCATATGACTTCAATTATGTGGAGGGTTTGTCTGAATTTTTTTAGGCTCAGAATTGGCTTGCTAAAGAATTTATTTTAAGATATTTTAATTGATATATCTGCTTTTATAACTGGAATATGTGAGATCTCCTTGAGTTTAATACCATTACCACCAGATGGATTTGTAACTGGCTTAACAGACCGTACTTGACAAGTAGTTCTTAATGTTACTATGTTTACATGGAGGGAAGTAAGCAGTGGGGTACAGTACTCTTCAATATCTTCAAAATGTTGGAGGGGAGGGGAAGTCATCAAATTTGCAGAAGACACTAAGCTGGGAGGAATAGCAAACATCCCAGATGATAGGCTCAGGATTCAAAAAGATCTTGTCAGACTTGAACAATGGGCCCTATCCAATAAAATGAAATTTAATGTGGAGAAAAGCAAAGTTTTTACACTTAGGAAGGAAAAAGGTACAAGTACAGGCAAAACCTGGCTCAAAAACAGTAACTTGGGGGGGGGGGGACCTTGGAGTCCTGGAAGATCACTTAAATATGAACTAGCAATGTGCAGCAGCAACCAAAGAAGCTAAAACAATTTTGTATAAACTGAGGCATAAAATCAAAATCACATGAAGCATTAGTACCACTAAAACCTTAAGTCCACACCTGGTATACTGCATCCAGTTTTGATCACCACATTGCAAAAAAGATGTTGAGACTTTGGAAAAAGTGCAAAGAAGAGTAACGGATGATTAAAGGCCTGGAGACTAAAACAGGAAGAACAGTTGCAGGATTTGGGTTTGGCTAGTCTAGACAAAAGGACTAGGGGACATGATAGCAGTATTCCAGTATTTGAGAGGCTGCCACAAAGGACAGGGTCAACATATTTCCCAAAACACCAGAGGGCAGGACATTGGAAACTAATCAAGGAGAGAAGGAATCTGGAATTAAGGAGAAACTTCCTAACAGGACAGTTAACCAGTGCCTTCAGAAGTGGCTGCTTTGACTTCCGGGTTAAACCCTCCTCGTTGATGGACCGGGGACTGCGACTGTCCTCAGCTTCGGTCTGTGCTCTCTTGTTGGAGAGCCCCAATCATTGTGATTAGGGGCTGAAGTTGCCTCGGAGGGGTGGCGGAGTAAGGGGAAGCCACCAGCCAGGTTGCGGGGAGCCGCATTTCCCCTCCCTGGGCTCGGCAATTTTTCCCCCTGAAGATGACCAAGTGGTGGTCTAAAATGGCCACCCTGAAGAGGAGGACTTAGCTGGACTAAGATTCATGCAGGAGAGAAGAAGGAGGTGGACAACATAAGAACTGGGACAACTTGGCGCAACAATTAATTAAAAGGTACCCCATGATGGATATTTTAAGAATTTTAATGAAAATAAGAAAGTGGCGGATTTATAAAGGGAAAGGAAAAAAAGTGAAAATATTTTTGACAGCTGAGTGGGGCTTTGAACTGGGATAGGAAGAAGCCGGAACAAGATACCCAAACAAATTGAATTAAAATACATTGGCAACAAACAGGCACAATTTAAAGCTGGGCTTAGGAGCTTTCAAAAAGAAGGGGGAAATATTTAAATTGAAGATTTGATTGGTTTGGAATACTGAGGTTTGGAAAGCCCTGAACAATAAAACGTGGGAAAGGTGAGGACATTGTATAACGGAGAGTGCCATCTGGTGGACAAAAATTTAAGCTGAAAAAGGGAAAGTTCCTATTTCTCTATGAATCTGATTTAATACACTGAAAAGGAAATATTGAAACAATGTAACAAGTACCCTAAAAAGTGAAAATTGAATTAGAATAAAAGAAAAAATATGGATAGTTGGACTGATTGGTGATTTTGCTATAAACCCAGTTCTGGAATAGTTGTCAATATAGAAAGTTAGAAGCAGAAAAAAGAAAACCTGATTTGTGGATTTTAATGACTATAAGATATAAGAGTGTGCAACAATGATATCTCTGGGATCTAAAAATGGAACTTAAAAATTTGAAAGAATTACTACATGCAAGAGGTGAATCACTTGCCTCTGAGTTAAAAGCTATGGAAATGGTGATTGAAGAATATGAAGAAGAAACCTCAGAGATGGAGGAGTTAGTTCAAGAAGAAGCCATCTTAAATAGACAATCAACACAACACCACAAAGAAGAAGAAAAAGAAGGGGGGTTAAAATGGGAGATTCAAAAAAGTAACTAAAATGGGGAATACTTGTAAAAATCGGAAAGACAGAAAAACAGCAGAAAAGTAAAACGAGGAAGGAAAATACATATAGAGAGAGGGATATAAATCAGAGGGAGAAAAGACTTGGAAAAACTAAAGGGAAGAGGTAATGAACAGGAACAAGAAAGAAAGAAATATGGGAATTGTAAAATAAAGGAAAAATTTTCTTTACCTAGAATAGGGATAATGGTTAATGAATTAAGAAAGGGGATTCTGCATTGATATGAGGGATAATAATAATGTACTTTGCAATTATAAATTATAGAATATGTCTATTGAGAGGAGGGAGGGGCACTGATATCTTTTTAGAAGATGAATGTACTTATTTTTATTGTTACAAGAAAGGTTAATGTCTATTGTATATATTGAAATTATTGAAATGAATCGTGAGGAGGTTTAAAAATGAGATTAATATCAGTGACCAGGAATAGCAAAATGGATTAATTGTTTTTTTCTCTTCTATTTTTTATACAAATAAAATTTTATGGAAGTAAAGGAAGAAAATACATTGGGGAATCTGACTGAAAAGTACAGTGTAAAGTAGTTTATTTTTCTAGGGAATGATTATTACTATAACTATAATAGATGTTTAATTGGGAATTACAGATGAGGGAATTAAGGCATATTTAAACCACTGAGGTGACACCCCCAAACTAGTAAAAGGGGAGGGGAAATTTATGTTTTGTTTTATGTGAAAAGGGTTGTATTAATTTAGACTTTATGAAAAGAATATGCGATGGAATTGCAAATTTGACAAGATAAAAGAATGAAAAGGGAATAAGTATGAAGGTATGGGAACTATTAGTGATTTAAATGAGAAAAGAGTACTTTGGAAAAGGCTAGGCTTAAAAACGTTAATGCTTAAGAAATACACTTGAAATAAATTGAAATAAACAGATGTTTAGAATGAAAGTAATATTAATGAATAGGATTAATTTGATTAAATAATTTTTCTTATGTAAAAGTTGTGAGGTAAAATGAGAAAAGAGTACTTTGGAAAAGGCCACACTTAAAAGAAATGTTAATGTTTAAGAGATATATTTGAAATAAATTGAAATGAATTGAGAAGATGTTTAGAATGAAAGTAATATCACTTAACAGAATTGACGTGTTTGTTCCTTTTCTTATGTAAAAGTTGAAATGGATAAGTAATAATAGAATTAAGTTAAAAATGGACAAGACAATGTTGAATGTAAAAATGAATATACTGTATAATCACTGTCATATTCGCAGTAAAAGTGGCGACTCGGAATTATGTTGTACACTGAAAAGAGCTCTTTTTTATGTTGTTTTGGAAAAATGAATAAAACTTGTTTTTTCAAAAAAGAAGTGGCTGCTTCATCTCTGGAGACTTTTAAGACAAGACTGGACAGCCACCTGGGTCTCCTACTTCAGCAGGGGGTTGGACTAGAAGACCTCTAAGGTCACTTCCAGCTCTGTTCTGATTGATTGCTTGGTACTATTTTCTATTCACAGCGAAGAATCACACATGGCCAATAAAGAATTCTATGTGGTTTCCAGCTTATGTCACAGAAATAGATTCTGTTCTATACAGCAAATGAAACGTCAGATAACAAAGCTGGAAAGTCCCTTTTTTTTTTTCTTCATCATATACCTTTTAAATGGTATGTGCTATGGATTCACCAGAAGGCACTGTTTCATTCGTGGAAAAGGGTTTTTTTAAAAACTGGGTGATCTAAGGCCAGTCATTTTCTCTCAGCAAGGAAGCAAGAAAGGGCAAACTACTTTGAAATCTTTGCAAAAAAAAAAAACAACCTTGAGAGTCTTGTGTAGGTACTGACCTAAAGACGCCCCCCACCCAAAGAAAAAGTTAGATGGACCAGTTGTTTATCATTACCTACAAAAATCTGCAGGATAAAGGCAAGCCCTCTAGTCCCAGAGAAATCAATCAAAACCATTACATAACCTCGTCCATAATTCCTAGAAGTGAAAAGACTGCTTCTTAGGCTAATATACTGTGCTTACAGCAAATATTAATAGATTTATCATCCATGATTTTGTCTAATATTCTTTACTCGTTTTGTGCTGTGTTCTATGATGAGATCCAAGGAAGAAGCGCTAGAACCCAATTGTCCAGCTAGTCCTTGACATAAACAGTTCATTTAAAGACCATTCCAACAGCACTGAAATCTGACTTATGACTGTTTTTCACACAAATGTTATGGCATCCCCATGGTCACATAATCAGAATTCAAACACTTGGCAACTGACTTATGGGGTAGTTGCAGTGTCCTGATCACCTTTTGCGACCTGAGAAACAAAGTCAATGGGGGGGGGTGGGGGGGGGGGGGGACAGATTCACTTAACTAACAACTCAGTTAAGTTACTAACTTAACTCTGGCAAGAAAGGTCTTAAAATGGGGTAAAACCTACTTAACAAATATCTCAGTAACAGAAATTTTGGGCTCATTTGTGGTTGTACGTTGAGGATTACCTGTGCTGCATTTCAGTTATAGCAGAAGTATATGGTGCTATGGTGACGCTATTAGAAAAAAAAAGAAGTCTCTTGAATTTTATTTGTAGCATTTATTTGAGACAAATTTCTAAGAAACCATTAGAGTTGCTTAGGAAGTATTTTATTCAAAGTGGACATTAGCTACATCTTAAACACTACAGTCTTAAAACAGATTAAATGCTCATGGTCCCTCTAGCTGGAAACCTGAGGTTTTTGCAGATCTGAATGATAAATATTACCTCTAACAAAATTGAATCCTTACCAAGTCATAGTTGCTATAGTTCAGGGCTGTCAAACTCCCAGCCTGTGGGCCAGAGCCATCACATGGTGCCCATGCTCGGTTTAGCAAAGGGGGGTGGAAGTCCCGATATATCATGTGATGCTGTCGTGATGACATGAGTTTGACACCCCTGCTACAATTAGTAAAGCAGTGAAAATTAAGCATACCAAAAAAATCAGTCTTGCAACAGAAGACATTCAACCATTTACTACAGTATACAACTAATCAATATAAATAACCTTGCACGGAAGCCTTGCAGTCCTGAGCTTGATCTCTCCAAGATGGGTAAATCTGAGGAATAGGAAGAAATAATAGATTTTGTCACACCGCCCACAGGCCTTCCTGACTGCCAATCTCAGAGCTGACAACTCTGTCATAAGATTGAGGGAGCATGAGTTTGCGGACAGGAGATACATATTGCCATCTTCACCCAGCAAATTTTGGAAAAAAAACAGAGCAGGCAGGACACACACTCTTAAATCAACGGTGTCAAACTCAAGGCCCAGAGACCAAATCCGGCCCATGGGGTGTTTAGATATGGCCCGCGGGTCCACCCTAGAAGCAGCAAAGAATGGGACTGGGGGCCCTCTGCCAGTGAAACAGAGCTCAGGAGGGCGACGCGTGGCCCTCCCAGGCTCCGTTTTCAGCCACAACGGCCTCCTGCAGCCCTATGCCAGTGAAAATAGAGCCCAGGCCAGCCACGCACAGCCCTTCTGAGCTCCATTTTAACTGGCAGAGGTTTGCAGGAGGCCATTGCAGCCAAAAGCAGAGCCTTGATAAGTGACGTCGATCTGGCCAGATGATATGACTGATTCTGTGCCATTAATTTGATGTCCAATTGTACAACCACAGGGTGTTTTTTTTCCTGTGATTATCTGTACTTAATCTGGTCTTTCAGGTCTTCCATCATCACTATTACTGAATCCATTCATCTTGCTACTGGTCATCTTCTTCTGCATAATGTGGCCTAAGTATGATAGTTTGAGTATCTCTTTTGTGTCTCAAACGAGAAATCTGGGTTGATTTGTTTGGGGTTTTTAATGTTGTCTGTAGTATTCTCAGAAGTCTTCTCTAACATTAAAGTTCAAAAACATCGCTAGACTTTCTACCTGACTTTTTCAAAGTCCACCTTTTGATTTGCAAGGTGTCACTAGGGAATATTATGGCCGAAGCAGTTCTGATCTTTGTAGGTATAGACACGTCAAGCATTTAAATATATTTTCCAAGGTCTTCATGGCTACTCTACCAAGTGTTAGTCTGCAACATATTTCTTTTACCATTGATGATTGATCTTAAAAGGGTAAAACCTATCTGCCACTTTAGTGTCTTCATTGTCAATCAGATGATTTACAGACATAAAAACCAATACCTATATCAGGAACAAAAGATAACAGAAGAGTACCACCCCAAACCAAACCTCCATCACCATCAAGTCACCAAAGTAAATCCGGAGGGTACCTGACACATGTCCAAGGATAACGGGTTCTGAGTAGTGTAGTGGCCTGCTACAGAAACATATCTTCTGGTTCATCCTTTGTTATCTTGTGGGGCAAGACTGTAACCAACCCCTTTCTTCTAAATGTAAAGACTGGGCAGATTCCAACAGAAGGGAATAGTCCCTAGGATAATCTGAAACAGTGATATGGTCTTTAGGGGTTATAACTAACACTTTGATCTGCTTTTGGAAATGTCAGAACCATATCGCTGCAAACAGAAAGACTGACCTTTGTTGTAACGAGTAACAATGCAAGAGAGCTAGATACTGTAGGCATGATCACGGCTGCAAAACATAAGCGCTGATGTGGTTTAGAGGAGGGGTGTCAAACTGGTGGCCTGCGGGTCAGATGTGTCATGTGCAGGCCAACTCACCCCAGCTCCACCAAGGGGAAAAACGATGCGATACATCACGTGATGGTGTGATTTTGACACCCGTGGTTTAGAGGAATGGCAAAAACATGCCCTATGTTAACAGGAGGATAAATAATTACTTTCATCATTATGTTTGCCTTCTGATTTATTTATGTAATTGTTCTTTGATTTTAGCTACAGATATAACTGATTGATTCATTCAGGCTTTCTCTGAAGCATAGCAATTTCATTAATATTAAAAAGAAAGAAAACACAACCTTTTGGAGAGGAGAGAATCATTTGAAAATGTACTTCGCTGTTATATAATTTTACATATGTAAAACCATGTGCTGAAATATTGAAGAAGCCTGTGTCTTATTTGGAATAGTCCTATCTTTTAGTCTCAAAAGTGATTGTCACTCAACTATCTGAATTCATTGTTAAAGGAAATAAGGATACACATCAAATAATTTACCTTAAACCCATAAAATCACTAGGATAATGTTAATTTCAGTAAGTGGTTGAACTTCCTTCATATGAATTCAGGTACTGGTAGTAGCTGAATTACTCCACGCTACTTGCATTTATGCATTAAAAAGAATTTTTATAAAACAAGCAAACAAGCTAAGTTAGTCTGTGCACAACTAATGGCTGATTTCTGACTTTCCAATGTCAGAGAACATAGGTTGTTTCTGTTGTTTATTCTGAGAATGGCTGTTCAAGGGTTTACAGACAGAACCTTCCACAGTTCTACTCTCCAAGGTATTACAAGCCCAGAGAAGAAAGCTATACTGCATAGTAAGCATTAGGAGAAAAACCTATTTATAGAAATATGTTTTGGAACATGGGACTGTTGATCAGAATAACACAACCAAGTTTATTACTCCCATTTAACGAATAGCATTTATAAAGAATCTTACTTTGTGCACTGAAATCTGATATATGTTTCCTTAAAAGAAAGGCTTGCTGACTCTATCCCAGGTTGCAGCCTTAAGAAGTTTGGAAAATCCCTCTACCTCTAATCCCCTCTTCTCCTTCTGTTCTACAGGAATGTGACATAAAATGGTTACAAAGAGCACATTCTGAGCCCTGTTGTCACTTACGCTCCATTACCACACAAGGAATATGCTAAGAAACTAAACACTGGATTACACAGAAAGACATGGCTGAGTTCTACTAGGAGAAAAGAAAAGAAGGTATGTTCTTGGGGCAAATCAACTACATATAGAGGATGGTAGGCTAGGACGTCGAGTCTGCATAATTTGTGGCTTTGGTATATTGTTTGGGCCCTCCTCTTCATGGCTGTCACAGATGTGCACAACAACACTTGGAGTGGAGTCAGTACCTGCATGTAGTTCATATTTCTCACCTAGAAGTCAAGAAAAATATTTTACATTTATTTTATAGTCACCCATTCCAGTAGACTCTGAGTTACTTACAAATACAAATTAATAAAAAAAGATAAATCACGCAGCCCTACAGACAACATGGATTAAAACAATCACACAACAAAAAAATCAAATCAAATGAGAGACCCCACAAACACATCAATCGCAGACCTGATACCAACACTAGATCTTAAGTGCTTCTTGGAATCCAAAGGAAGCGGGCAATGTTCATATCTCTGCAGGGATGCTGCTCCAGAGGGCAGGAGCCACAGCAGAGAAGGCACACTTTCTTGGACCCATAAGGCAACAACATGTAATAGTAGGGATCTGAAGCATTCTTACTCTGCTAGAACATACAGGTGAAACTCGAAAAATTAGAATATCGTGGAAAAGTTCATTTATTTCAGGAATGCAACTTAAAAGGTGAAACTAATATATGAGATAGACTCATTACATGCAAAGCAAGATAGTTCAAGCCGTGATTTGTCATAATTGAGATGATTATGGCTTACAGCTCATGAAAACCCCAAATCCACAATCTCAGAAAATTAGAATATTACATGCAATCAATAAAACAAGGATTGTACATAGAACAGTTTCGGACCTCTGAAAAGTATAAGCATGCATATGTACTCAGTACTTGGTTTGGGCCCCTTTTGCAGCAATTATTACCTCAGTGCGGTGTGGCATGGAAGCTATCAGCCTGTGGCACTGCTGAGGTGTTATGGAAGACCAGGATGCTTCAATAGCGGCCTTCAGCTCTTCTGCATTGTTCAGTCTCATGTCTCTCATCTTTCTCTTGGCAATGCCCCATAGATTCTCTATGGGGTTCAGGTCAGGTGAGTTTGCTGGCCAATCAAGCACAGTAATCTCATGGTCATTGAACCAGGTTTTGGTGCTTTTGGCAGTGTGGGCAGATGCCAAGTCCTGCTGGAAAATGAATTCAGCATCCCCATAAAGCTCATCTGCAGAAGGAAGCATGAAGTGCTCCAAAATCTCCTGGTAGACGGCTACGTTGACCCAGGACTTAATGAAGCATCAACACCAGCAGATGACATGGCTCCCCAAATCAACAAAGAGTGTGGAAACTTCACACTGGACTTCAAGCATTTTGCAGTGTGTGCCTCTCCATTCTTCCTCCAGACTCTGGGTCCTTGGTTTCCAAATGAGATGCAAAAGTTGCTCTCATCAGAAAAGAGGATTTTGGACCACTGAGCAACAGACCAGTTCTGTTTTTCTTTAGCCCAGGTAAGACGCTTCTGATGTTGTTTGTTGTTCAGGAGCGGCTTGACAAGAGGAATACGACATTTGAAGCCCATGTCTATTTGTGGTGGCTCTTGATACACTGACTCCAGCCTCAGTCCACTCCTTGTGAAAGTCCCCAACACTTTTGAATGGCCTTTTCCTGACAATCCTCTCCAGGCTGCAGTCATCCCTGCTGCTTGTGCACCTTTTTCTTCCACACTTTTCCCTTCCACATAACTTTCTATTAATGGGCTTTGATACAGCACTTTGGGAACATCCAACTTCTTTTGCAATTACCTTTTGAGGCTTTCCCTCCTTATGGAGGGTGTCAATGATGGTTTTCTGTCAGGTTCGCAGTCTTTCCCATGATTGTGATTCCTACTGAACCAGACTGAGAGACCATTTAAAGGCTCAGAAACCCTTTGCAGGTGTTATGGCTTAACTAGCTGATTAGAGTGGGACACTTTGAGCCTAGAATATTGAACCTGTTCACAAAATTCTAATTTTCTGAGATTGGGGATTTGGGGTTTTCATGAGCTGTAAGCCATAATCATCTCAATTATGACACATCATGGCTTGAACTATCTTGCTTTGCATGTAATGAGTCTATCTCATATATTAGTTTCACTTTTAAGTTGCATTACTGAAATGAATGAACTTTTGCACAATATTCTAATATTTTGAGTTTCACCTGTAATAGCTGGCAGAAACAGTCGTAAATAGGCAGTCTCTCAGATATTCAGGCCCTAGGTGCCTTTTACAGCAGCACCTTGAAATGTACCTAGAAGCTGATTGACAATCAATGCAACTCGTACAGCAGCAATGATATATGGGCACAATGAAAAGTGTCCAATAACTGCTCCCAGCACTGCATTTTTTACCAATTGTAACTTCTGGATCATCTCCAAGGGCACCCCCATGTATA